ATATTGCATGCCCACATATACCAGCTATATGACGACATGTGGTCAACATCACAAACATTTTATTCTGGTACACCAATCATCAAAATCCGGCGTTCACCATCATTGACCGATATTGACCGGCATTGACCAACAAAAATATTCTAAAAAATATTTTTATTTATTTTAAAAGAATTATTCTATTGAATTATTTATGTTGTTGTATAATAATAAAAAAACACATTCTATATTTAACAAAAAATATTTTGTATGATTCCAATAATTAGTTAATTTTTTCAACTTCAAAACTAAATTCAAATTGAAATAAAATAAATTTTATTAATTTTATTAGAAAAATTGAGTATATGACTCTTTAATCTAAAGTTGGCATGATAAAAAATATAAAGTTTTTTGCTAAAATCAAAATCATAATACATAGTTAAAAAAATATAGAAACCTTTACATACTATTTAGTCTAAATTTAATACATCTGTAATTTTTGTAATTAAAATTATTAAAAATCATTCTCGTAATAACGCGTAAAAACAAAAAAAAGGTTGTAATTTTTTTTTAATATATAGCAAACAGAAAATCTAACTATATTGATGTTAGCAAAAACATTTGTAAAATAATAAGTTAATATTTTTATTGACAATGTAAAAATAAGTAATTTGCTTAATTATTTTTATTTCACTTTTATTTTAGTTTTGAAATTGAAAAAACTAACTAATTATAATAATCAATGTATTAATACAAAATTTCTTTATGTTGAATATAGAATGTGATTTCTTCTTTAATTATACAGTACCATAATAGATTCAATAGAATATTAAAACAAATAAAAATAATTTTTTTGAATATTTTTGTTGGTCAATGCCGGTCAACGATGGTTAACGCCGGATTTCGATGATTAGTATACCAGAATAAGATGTTCGTGATGTTGACCACATGACATCATATAGTTGGTATATGTGAGCATGCAATACATCTAGTTCGTGTAGTTGGTTATAAATTTATAAATTTGGCATATGTAGCCATGTATTCTATTATACTTTGTGTAGCTGAATATCTATTTTCCTTTTTGAAAAATCTAAAAGTTTTTTTTATTTTTTTGAAAATTCTTTAAACTAATCGGTTCATCTTACTGAACTGAACCAAATCGAACAGGTTATCTATTTAGAAATGCTATCAGCGTTAAGCATAAACCGAGATTTAAGAACAAATAATATAAATGTCTTGTTAACTACACGAAGTATTTCTTTTTTTGTCAACTACACGAAGTATTTTCATCAATTTTTTTTTAAAACTAATAAGTTAAATAAAACTATATAATATATCAATGTAAATTATATATGTACATTATAACTATTCTAACTTTAAAATTTTAATGTAATAAAGACTAAACTAGTTCCATAAAAAATATATGTGTTCATTAAAAATTTGTTAATTAACTTAAACCTATAATGAACATGTATAATTTAATTAAGTGACACTTTTAAAAATTTAGTTAAATTAATTTCATATAAAACATATGTGTGCATTAAAAATTAGTTAATTAATTTAACTTAAAATTATAAGGGATACTGCATATGTAGAATTTAAACTTTAAAAGTTATAATGCATATATATAATTAACAATAGTGTATTATTTACTTTTAGTTATTTTTTCATTTTGTAATTTAGTTTTAAAAAAATGATGGAAATATTTCGTGTAGTTAACAATACATTTATATTATCTGGAAATGATGGTTATGGTATATATAATTTACATTGATATATTATATAGTTTTATTTAACTTATAGTGATGTATAATTTAACTAAGTGACTATTATAAATTTTTAACAATTTAATATAATAAATATTAAATTAGTTAAATTAATTTAACTTAAAAGTATAATGCATTAAAAGTTATAATATATATATATATATATAATTTATAATAGTGTAATATTTACTTTTTAGTTACTTTTGATTTGTTGGGTCGGGTTATATTTACCCCAACTCATACACCGGATATTCCATATATAATAATTTAGATATTTAGAAGATTTGATTAAGATTTATAATTATGATTCTCCTATCATCTTTGTTTGATTTGTTTTTAACTGTTTTGAATCATCATATAATACATAAAGTTAGAAAAAAAATTAATTTTTTTCTTCTGCATATACTGTGATTCGAAATTTTAAAAACGGACATATATTATCCAATTGACGAAAATGTGTGTTCAACGTTCTACATCGATTAAAATATTTAAGCAATGATTCAGAATCATATCATAAATAAGAACATTAATAAAATAAATGAGTTTTTTGGCCGGACGGGTTTGGCGGGACGGGTTTTTGAATCAACAATAATAAAAAGATTAAAATATCATTAATTCGCCGCTTCAATACGGATTAAATCCTTTTTTTTTAATACCACAAATATTTGACATATTAAATCAGTCTCATTTAGAAAAGATTGTATAAAACCAAAAATTATCCCGTGGTATAATGTTACTTAATAACAATATTTATAAAATTTAAAAATATCATTAACATGCCATTTTAATACATATTAAATCTTTAGTTTATTAAAATATAAATGTCTTAGAGAATAATATGATTTGTAAACTTTTATATATAATAAATAATCATTAAATTTTAAAATAAAAACAAATCACGGGACGGGTTAAGAAATTACGGAACATGTTATATTTCGGAAATAATTTATATGGCGGACGAATTTGAATCAATATTTATATACCGCTTTAATACGGGTTAAATCATCAGTTTATTAATAATTGTCTCGTGGACTCGTGGTATACCGTTACTTAATAACAATTGTAAACTATAATATAAATAAATATGTTATAAGGAGAAACAATTTACAAAATATTTTTATACTAACTTTAAAATTAAATCATCCCGCGGTGTACCGCGGGTTAAAATCTAGTTACTAAGTAAAATACTATTTTAAATTGGTCCCGAAAAGAGAGTGATCGATTTTCCGGATTAGGCTAGTTTTGTTCTAATCTGACAGATGGAACGCAAGACATGGGAGCTGCTAATCTTCGAAGAAACTTAACCTCACTTCACTCAAAGGTCAAAGCATTAATTTGGGCGATGAGATGTATGATCGGCCAAGACAAGAGAGAAGTAGTTTTCCTTACAGACTGCTCTGACCTGGTGAAGACGGATGTGAAAGCGGATAAACTGGCTCGAACTGTTCGTACTCAGCCGCATCTTATCACCTATGTAAACAATTGTCCCCAACATTAGCTTATTTAAGTCAATCTAATATAGCTGTTGACAAAAAAAAAAAAAAAAAAAAAAATTGTGGATAATTTTTAGTGTCATTCGATAAGTATATTTATACAATAAACCACTATAAATAAATATTATTAGGACTAATTTTGTTTAACCGATAGATTAATAATGTTTAATTTAAAGAGAGATTTTCTTATAATTAATCCATTATTCATATGAGATTATAGTATGCAATATATAAGTTTAGAGTATATACAAGACCATGCCTAGAGATTTGGTGGCTTAAAGCATTAAAAAAAAATATATATTATATACATTTTCGTGATAAAATGTTTTATAACTTATAATTAAAATTTAACATATTATTTTGTAATAAAATAGAAATACTTAACACTTAACACTATTTTTTAATCTATGAAAACAAAATATTGTACTAACTACTATAAATATATAATTTTATACTATTTTCACAATCTATTTTCTTAGTTAATACTATTTTTTATCTATGAAAGTACTAAAATTCGAAATACTACATTGTAAAGTACTAGAGATAACAGTCCTTTTAACATGTTAAACAAAATTTCAAACCTAAGAAAATAGCAGTTAATATTGAGGGACCTAAGGAAAATACCTTTTTCTCATAGGCACACTTAGGGCTGTCAAAATGGGTTAAGAGTCATGGATCAACTCAACTCAACTCAACTCAACCTATGAACCTAATGAATTGAAAATTTTGACTCAAATGAGTTGATAGATCAAATGAGTTATTGGGTCAAATGGATTAATGAATGAGATGAGATGGGTTGTAATGGGTCAATGGTTTACCCATTTAACCCATCATTATTTTTTAAAATTAAATCAAACTAATTCAAATCTCTAAACCGATATCAATTTGAGTCTAACCAAAACTTCTAAACCGATTGAATATAATCCTTAATTTTTCCGCTAAAAATATGAATACATAATTTTTCCGCCAAAAACGTAAATTCGCTATTTTTCCGCCAAAAACGTAAATACGTGATTTTCCCACCAAAAGCGTAATCCACAATTTTTCCGCCAAAACGTAAATCCGTCATTTTTCCGCAAAAAAACGTAAATCCGCAATTTTTCCGCCAAAAACGTAAATTCATAATTTTTCCGCAAAAAACGTAAATCCATTATTTTCCTGCCAAAATTTTTTTACAGTTTTTAACCAAACACGAGAATGTGCAATTTTTTCGCCAAACATGTAAATCCATGATTATTATTATTATTATTATTATTATTATTATTTTGTTTTATTATAATTATTAATTAATTTATTTATTACATTAATGGGTTAATCAAATTAAATGAGTTCATGGATTGACTTAACTTATTTGCTAAATGGTTTCGACCTAGAATAATAAGCTCATGGGGATTCCGTAAATATTCCATTCCAAAAATCAAAAATGACTCAACTTATTTAACTCTAAACTCATTGGGTAATTAGTTGAGTTGGATTGGGTTAACCATTTTGACATCTCTATGCACACGCTGAATATATAAGAGATGTTGTTAATAACAATTTGTTATTATCTACATATGTTTACTTAAAAGTTTATAGAAATATATATTATATCGAATTTTGAAATTTTTACACTAACTAGTTGGGATCAGAACAATTTTTTTGTTTTGTTTTTGATGACAGCCAGAACAAAAGTTTAACAATATCATTCATTTATTATATTATGTAAAAACCAACGACCCCGGCAGTTCACTATATATAAACAGCATCGAGAGGTTAAAAGATCTTAACATTATACATTCTAACATTGGTAAGATGTCAAACCAAAGAAAACCAATCCTTCCTCTATTACTTGAAAAGAAACCAGTTGAGCTTGTTAAACCCGCAAAACACACTTCTTGTGAAACTCTCTCCCTTTCTACTTTAGACAACGATCTTTTCAATGAAGTTATGTACGCAACGATCTACGTTTTCAAAGCAAACCAAAAGAACCTAAATGATCCTGTCTCTTTGCTTAGGAAGGCTTTGTCCGAACTTCTTGTGCATTACTATCCTCTTTCAGGCAAGCTGATGAGAGATGAGAGTAATGGAAAGCTTCAGTTGGTTTATCTCGGTGAGGGAGTTCCATTTCAAGTGGCTACATCAACTCTAGACCTCTCCTCTCTAATTAAACTATATAGAAAACCTCGATGACCAAGTTGCATTGCGGCTTGTGCCTGATATCGAAATCGACTACGAAAGCAACGTTTGTTACCACCCTCTAGCTTTGCAGGTAGCTTTTCATTTTCTTCATTGTATCAATAACATTTTTTTTTTTTTGAATACTTTTGTATCAATAACATTGTATCAATAACATTTTTTTTTTTTGAATACTTTTGTATCAATAACATTGTATCTATATTTTTTTTTTCAATACATAATAATTAAGATAATATATTGTTCCCTTTCTTTCTTTTGAAGGTTACCAAGTTTGCCTGTGGAGGATTCACCATTGGCACCGCACTGACACACGCTGGGTGTGACGGATACGGTGTGGCTCAGATCATCCATGCCTTGACCGAGTTGGCTGCCGGAAAGACTGAGCCATCGGTGAAGCCAGTGTGGCAGAGAGAGCGGCTTGTCGGAAAAATTGACAATAAACCAGGCAAAGTGCCCGGTAGCCACATTGATGGTCTTTTGGCCACCTCACCATATTTGCCAACTACTGATGTCGTATGTTATTTTGTCAAATTTAATTTTATATCATATTATAAGTTATGATTTTATTAGCTCATTTAGCTTTTAGATTTGTAGTTATATAGAAGAATTGTATATATTAGGTGGATGATCTTAATTTATTTAGCTCATTTTTTTAATAATTACAAGGTAAATGATTTTATTTTATTTATTATCCAACAGGTCACGGAGATAATAAACATTCCCGCTGGAGATATTAAAAGGCTTAAAGACTCTTTGATGAGGGAATGTGAGTACCTTAAAGAGAGTTTCACTACTTATGAAGTACTAAGTTCTTACGTATGGAAATTAAGATCTCGAGCTCTAAAACTAAACCCTGACGGGATCACTGTCCTTGGCGTGGCTGTTGGAATCCGACATGTTTTGGACCCACCACTTCCTAAAGGATACTACGGTAACGCGTACATAGACGTCTACGTGGAGCTAACCGTGAGAGAACTCGAAGAATCATCAATCTTTAACATCGCGAGTCGTGTGAAGAAAGCGAAGAAAACAGCCTATGAAAAGGGGTATATTGAGGAAGAGCTAACTAACACGGAGAGATTGATGAGGGATGATGCGATGTTCGAAGGGGTAAGCGATGGATTATTTTTCTTGACGGATTGGAGGAATATTGGTTGGTTCGGATCGATGGATTTCGGTTGGGATGAGCCAGTGAATTTACGGCCATTGACCCAACGGGAGAGCACAGTGCACGTAGGGATGGTCTTGAAACCTTCAAAATTGGATCCATCAATGGAAGGTGGAGTTAAAGTGATCATGAAGTTGCCGAGAGACGCAATGGTTGAATTCAAGCGAGAGATGGCAGCTATGAACAAACTTTATTTTGGTGATACCAACTAAATTAATTAGTTGGTACCGGAGTGAATTTCTGTGTTTGTTAATGAATGCTTTTAAATTAATGTCAGTGAATAATGGATGAATATATGTAATGTTCAATATCATAATGTAATACTTGATCTGTTCATGTCATGAATAATGAATAATGAAGTTCGGTATTTCCATTCGATTTTAGAAATACTAAAAAGTAGTGTTCTAAAGAGCGGTCTACGCGGTAGTTTAGGACCCGACTAGAGGCTAGGCGCTCATGGGACGCCTAGATAACCGCTTCGACCGCCTAAAATAGCATAAATCTCATTTTAGTGTATTTTTCCAATTTCTAACTACATATATTTAAATTTATAAGTTTTACCTTCATATAAATGGTTATAAATGTTTATATGTTGTTTGATATAAATTAAAGAAATTTTTTGTCTACTTCTTGTTTACGATTTCATATATTTATTTTTCTAATATATATATAGTTTGATATGATTTTTTCTATGATATCATATTTATAATATTTTATGTGAAAATGCATAAAATCTCGCCTAGGCTCCGATTAGGAGTTCTAGGCGCTAGGCGTTGGTTCACTGTTCGTTTAGCGCTTAACGCTTTCTTGAACATAGTAAAAACACATTGACATGTTTTTAAATATTTCATCAGATATAGTTTTTAAATTAATCAGTTTGTGTTTTCCTTTTTTGCTCTTGTGTCCTTTTAGTGTGTTTAACATGTAGCTGATCTGAGAAAAAGAAAACATGAAGCTGATGTCTCTTTGTGTATGCAGAAACACATTTACATTAGATATACCTCCTATTGTACTGTTAATTTTTTTTTTTTAGTAAGCATAAAAAGAGTTGAAAAACATCACTATATACACAGCATAAAAACCAAATAAGTGCAGTCTGATGTTTTATCTTGATTTTTATTTCTTTTTGATCAATTTTAATACTATATATTCTTTTTATACTGTTATACCAAAAGAATCAAACGGTTGTGCTGAAAGCTAAATGAGAAGTTACATTATGACATCAGTATATGCCAGCAAACGATCATCATATCCTGTGAGCCTTGGTATCACATCCTCAAAAGTGGGAGAAGGAAAAGGTCCATAGAACTTTCAATAGATGTCTTAAAAGATTCATATTCCCTACCAAGACCATGTAAAGCAGCAAAAATCTTCATTTCATATAAGGTTTGAAATATGAAACTCTTCTTAATCCTTATCCTTCAACGATTACAATATTTCCAAGCCCTAACAATGGAGATTTGTTCAAGATATCTCCTAACTCTCCTCTAACAAACCAAACGTTTGTTACGTAGTTTTGATAAGTTGCAGGAACTAGAGGCCTCACACCGGGTGCGGGGGTTCTGATCGGTCTCTGGAGAAGGCTTCATACCAGCCACTGTGGTTGAGGCCGGTCCCAAGGGTCAGCTTCCCACCGGTCATACTCCTTGTGATTGGTCTCAGATAGGTTGTCTTCAATCGGGTGTAGAATCCTTTTGGTAGACAGTATTGACTTTATTCTTTCACCATAGTACTCTTGACTCTTCTACCTTTCCATAGAGTCCAAGATCTCTCAATTCGGTGTCTGGGAAGGCCTCCAACGAATGCCAAACTTCTAGAGCTTGTCCTAAAATGGGTCCTTTTTCCTTAAAACTCTCATAAAATTTTAACTCCATAAATACTTGAATATCTCTTCTTTAGCCTTGAAATGACACCAAATGCTTCCTAAATCATAAAAAAACAATAGCTAAAACGGGCGAAAATACGATGTTAATTATCATCTATCCGGGTAGTAAGTCCTTGAACATACTTTGGTCCATTGCTTGAGTTGTACACATAGTTGTCTGATGTGGCTGCGGCTTGTTTTGGCAAACGTGGAAGCAAGAGTCTCCAAGGCTTGAGAGGAAGTAGTGGTGCGTGATACCACTGGCTGAACCGGAGGAGTGATAGCTCCTAGCAAGGCACTATAAAGGAGTTTGTCTTGTCTCTTCCAAAAGGTAAACTCCGGATTGACAGTGACCGCGTAATGGACAGTTAGTGTTGGAGGTGGGATAACGGTGGAGCCGTCAAGGTAGCCGGCGAGTTTGTAGCCATCGAGCGAAGCGTAGAATTGGAGACTCCACATCAGGTAGTTGGTGGAGTTGAGCTTGGTGATATTTGCAGTGTTGATGTTGTAAAGTGTTGGAGTGTTGGTGACGATTTCTTCACCAATAGTAGCAAATGGGCCATTGGCTGAAGTTGTCATTATGACGGCGGTGGAGTTTTATGTAATTAAACGAAGAAAAATATATTGATTTAGGTTGGATCAGGACTCTGATACCATATAAGATGATAATGATTTGTATTTCTTGTATATTGATAATGGTTACACGTGAGGCTTTTATATATACAGACTCTAAAGATGTAACAATAGAAACCTAAATACTATGTCTAGATAATGGGAGCAATCAAAGGGATTGAAGATTGTGATTATTTTGATTGACTTGATTCTCACGATTATCCTTAATACACTATACCTCTCCCAATTCCACTATTTTCCGGCCAAATTCTTCCATTAAAATCGCAGAAAACCAAAACTCTTTGGTCACTCTGGCCATCAGTCAGGCCGTTGATCATGGGTCATGGCATCGTCTTTCCTCTTTCTTTCCCATTCATTTCTATGCGCCGCTTCTCTACTAGCACCGCAGCTCTTGTTTATGGTCGGTTACATATTGGTTTTTAGTTTGTTTCATTGTTACTATGTCGATTTTGATCATGAAGTGATATTTTTAACACATTCTATAGTTTTGTTTTATTTATTTTACCGAGTCTTTTATCCGGGAACAAATCGTTCTCGGTATAAATAAGTCATTTAGGAATTTGGATTTGCAGAGCAGAAGTGAACATAACAAAAAGAAAATGGGCCGAAAAACAGCGGAAAAAAAAATTCATTAAGAGGCCCGTTCGGTAGAGCCTGGCATCGATCAATAAAGAAACGCTCGAACCCGTTGGAAGCCTAGAGTACACGCCTTGTTTTTAGATTTTAACAAGTATTAGATTTTTATTAATCTTTTATTTAATTACTTGTGTATCGTTCACACACAATACCATATTTTTCTGAATTATAATGTGACATCAATAATATAACAAATTGATGATGAATTAGAAGCATGATCTTATAGATACAAGCATAAAGCCTATAAAATGCATGCTCCGCTGTATTACATGTGGTTCAAAAGCAACAATATAAATACAAAATATAAGGACAACAAAATCATCCTTTCGAATCATAAATTATCAACCCCATATCAACAACTTTGAGGCGACAAAAAAATGATACATATTTTGAGATTTTCGTATAACCTATTTTGGATCGTTCCCAAAATATCACGATATTAATCTCAATTATTATATAACAGCGATACTATAACAAACTAACATCACCATTTTGGTGAGAATCTTTATTTCTTAATATTAATAGCAGATATCGGATTTCAAAAACCATAAAAGTAATAGTTGAAAAGGTGGAAAAGAGACAATGATGAAATCGGTTGCTTTGGCGTTTCCAACCTATGTTATGTCTTGTTTTAAACTCCCTCAAGAGCTAACATCTAAGCTAACAAGTGCAATATCTAATTATTGGTGGAGTTCTAATGGGAAGGACCGTGGTATCCATTCGATATATTGTGTATGGATAAAGAAAAAGGAGGTTTGAGCTTTCATTCTCTAGATACTTTTAATGATGCTATGTTGGCTAAACAATATTGGAGATTAATCCATTACCCGGATTCTTTAGTAGCGCGAGTGCTAAAAGGTAGATATTTCAGGAATGTTCATCCTTTGAATGCAAAAAAACCAAACTCTCCATCATTTGGATGGAAGAGTATTTTTTCGACAAAAAGGATTGTCGAAATGGGTGCAAGATGGTCAATAGGTTCGGGTTTCAATATATCGTTTTGGCGAGATCCTTGGATTCCAGAGGATAATCCTAGGCCCGCAAGGGGAAGGGGAAATTTATTACTTCCAAGTCTGATGGTTAACCATTTAATTAATCCGGTTACTAAAGAGTGGCACCTTCCTCTTCTACAAGAAGTTTTGGATCCGCTTGATATACAAATCATTAGAGGAATGACTTTTAGTCAGAATTATAGGCCAGATAGGCTTATTTGGCATTATACAAATTCAGGGAAATATACAGTAAAGTCTGGATATCGACTTGCTCGAAAGATGTGTGAGACGGTAGAATGGGGACCAAATTTTAAAATTTTACAAGCTCAAGCGTGGAAAGTCAAATCTCCTCCAAAGATAAAACATTTCTTATGGCAAATCGCTTCGGGATCTATGGCAGTTACCTCAAAATTAGTACAACGAGGGATTAGGGGTGAGCTGGCAGAGGAAACTATAAATCATGCTTTATTTGAGTGTTCTCATTCTCTAAAAATATGGGAATTATCCGCGGTGCCTTCGGTTCCAGGCTGCTTTCCTCTAAGTTCGGAACTTTCAAATCTAGATTGCCTTTATTGGAGAATACCACCTCCTCGAGAAGGGGGAAAATACAAATTGTTATGCGTGGATTTTGTGGTTCATATGGAAAGATAGGAATAAAAAAGTTTTTAAAGGAATACAATCAGATCCCACAGATATTTTAAATCACGCTTTGAGTGAGAAATTACTGTGGGAAGAAGCTCAAGTGGAGCCGATCGACAATAATACATTAACAGAAATTTCGGAACCCCCAATCCAATCATTACGATGTCGAATTGATGGTTCATGGAAAGCTTCGGATCCAACTATGGGTTTAGGATGGTGGTGTTTTCAGGAGACCGCTCAAACTATACTGCTTGGTGCCAAGTGCCTTAGAAGATCACCCTCGCCCCTTCATTCGGAGTTGGAAGCTTTAATTAGGGCCATGAAGAATATCCTTTCAAGAAGGATTGCTTGTCAGGCGTTTGAATCAGATTGTTCAGAATTGGTTTCGATGGTACAGTCACCTTATGAATGGCCAGCTTTCTCTAACCTTCTAGACGAGTTTGGTTTGCTACGTGTTTCCTTTCCCTCTTTCTCACTTTCCCTTATTCCTCGTTCTTGTAATTTAAAAACGGACTGTTTAGCCCGCTCTTCTAGACTTTTATTTTCTGAAACTACTTTTAAACATTTCTCCTCCTAATTGGGTAACCAACTATGGAGCTTTTTAATAAATGTGTGGTTGACAAAAAAAAAAAAAAAGTAATAGTTGAAATTTTAACAAATTCTTTGGTGTGATACTTTTGTCATAATATATATTACTCTGTTTTTAATTAATATAATTTTTAAGCTTTATTAAAAATTTAAATAATTATAAATGCATTATTTTTTGTGATTAACCAGTTTACTATTATTCATTAATAACTAATAAAAAATATTTAGGAAACCTAAAAGTAAATATATTCTTGCAACAAAGTTTTCTCTAAAATTTGGATTAATAAGGAATAGATGAAATATCTTTCAGAGTTATTTAATATCAAGAGAAAATTAATAGAAATGCAATAAAATCTTTTGAAACTTTTGAGAAATGTCACATTTCGGCTTTCTCATTTGGGTTCGGCTCTGATACCACTTGTAACGCCCTACCGTCATTTTTAATGGGCACGTCTTCTCTCGGTCCGTGCGCCAACAATCTTTTGATAGTCGGTTCGCTACGTCTGTGAGGCTTTAAAGACTTGTTTACCGACCCTACAAATCACAGCATGATATTTTTCTTTGTTTTGTCTTCACTCACACGGTTCCGACAATTATTTCCTAGAAGGTCATTCATCTTGAAACTGCTCCACCTCAAGCACGCTTATCTATGGAGTTTTTTCCAGATGTTTAACTGAAAAGATAAGTGCACTTTGGAGACATAAATAACCAAATATATTCTTTTATACCCTCCTCATGCACCACCATATTTCTTGTAATCGGGGCGTTACAATTCACCCCTACTAATAGACCGCAACGTCCTCGTTGCACACCAAGATCGTCACTCCTAACTGTGTTAGCCCTCTTGACTCTACACTCATCTTTTTGTTAAATTTAATTAATTAAAAAAATTAAAATCTGCATATCGGACGGGTCCTAATCTAGTTTAATATAAAAATAACATATTTCTATCTACTAATAATAGCAATATTTACACAAATATATATATATATATATAACAGTTTATGAAAAAATAACAGTTAAAATCCGTAAAGATCGTCGGCTCGTGGCCTTAAACATTGTTGATACGGGTTGTGATTATATGATTCTAAAGAGAGTTTTTTGTCTATATATATAACAGTTGAACCATGTGATGCGTTGGAAACATGTATTGTCATAATTCATAAACCATGCAAATTGATTCAATGAAGCGCTCATATATTCTCAACGCTTTCAGTTGCTCCACCGTCAATCATCCCATATAAGAAGTCTATGATGACTCTATGTTGAGTAATGCTTATTTTGTATTAAAACCAAGTAAGAAAATCAAAGAAGCTAAACAAGATAGAATTAGTCTCCTTAAGCTATTGGAGTTGTTCGAGTCTAGTAAAAATTAAGACTAGTGGGAGTGGTTGTGTAGTTGTTAGTAAAATCAGAGAGTAGCTAGTTAGCTTACTCTCTATATAAGTTTGTATGTGTTATGGTGTGGAAGTGTAACGAAAATATGTACTAGTTTTCTATATCTCAATCCTCTCAAGAACTTTCACAAACATTGTCCGAACAAACACTTGAAACAGAGAGATGCGGAGCAAGAAGAAACTGAAAGTTGTATTATTATACAACAAACACTCTAAGCTTAAAAACTGAAAACTTTCATTCGGCGTCCTAATTTACAAGGTTTGGAACTTATCATTAGAGAAGGATAAAGAAAAGACCAGATAACAAGTAAACAATTTTCGATGAGTTTAGCCAGTAAAATTACCAAGTGTCGTTAGCTCAACTGGTAAAGACTCTAGGCAAAACTTAGAGGTCGCCGGTTCGAGTGACGCTTGTGACGAAACTAATTCTATATACTTAATTAGTTTTCGAGGATGATTATTTCTACGCAGCAGACGGTTTCCACATCTTGATGCCTTGCAACATTTAAAACACACTTCCTTCAAATATTGCCTTGGTCTAAAAGAGTTTTTATTTATTTTGGGGTTCTAGAGAATTTTGAGATTTAGTAAGCTTTTAATGGATCAAATAGTCTTCTTTGAGTTATAAATAACTAATTTTTTTTTTTTTTTTTTTGTCATCCGAAATTAATTAGAACTCAAAAGAGCCATTCCTGTGGAATGTTGTTTACAAATGTGATATGAAGCGGTTCTGTACGAATTTTTCGTGCCAGATGATCCACTTTTACATTAGCATTGCGAGAAATTAAAGATAAAGAGAATGATGAGAATTCTTCCTTGTCGCTCTGAAATTTCTCCAAGTACACTGAAAACGCCGGCCATTCGGTTGGAGAAGACACCAGAATCTCACAAAGATAACTAATTTTTTTTCTTATTGACATTTTTACTAAATAAGATGTTTGGGTGAGGATATAAAAGAGATGCATTGAAACGTGTATAGTAAAATAGGCCTATTCTCACAATTATAGTGAATGTACCAGTACCAGAATCACAATTATGTTTAAGAAAAACATCCATTTCGCAAAATAATTCTAAAAACGAAATATTTATAAAATAATGTAGGAGTTGGTGACCACTTATATATATAATAAAGCCTTGCAACAAGTAGTCAGTACCTCAAACAAAAATCAGATCAGCCATACATGGATCTACCTCAGCTTTTTCTTCTCTCTGCTCTCTTTATTTTCTCTGTTTCATACTTAATAAAGTCTCTGCTTCGTCCCAAGAACAAGAAGACTACGGCACCTATGATCCCCGGAGCCTGGCCATTGCTCGGCCATTTACATTTATTTGACACCGTAAACCCAACTCACGTTACGTTTGGGGAAATGGCTGACGTCTATGGACCGGTGTTCATGGCAAAGCTTGGCTCTCTCAACGTCATGGTCATAAACAGCAAAGAGGTCGCCAAAGAGATCTACACGGTCCACGACAAGCTACTAGAACGGCCAGAACTTACCGCGTCTAAGATTCTTGGCTACAACGACTCGTTCTTGACCTTTAGTCCTTATGGTCTTTACTGGAGAGAGATGCGGAAGATCGCAGCATCCGAGCTTTTTTCGACCTCGGGAATTGATATGCTCATGTTTAGTAGAGCACGTGAAGCTGACTTGGCATTTGGAAATTTATACGGTAGGTGGGAGCAAAGAGGTAAGCCTAAAGAAGGAGTCTTGGTGGATATGAAGCAAGAGTTCATAGATCTAACTGCCAACATCTCGTTAATGATGGTCGCGGGGAAGAGATACTTTGGTGAAAACCCTAACTGCGAAGTGAAAGAAGCTAGGAGATGCGGGAAGCTGATTCGCGAGTTTTTGGATTATTTCTCACTATTTTTGTTGTCTGATGTGGCACCGGTTCTAGGTTTGTTGGAGTGGAAGATCAAGAGAGGAATGAAGAGAACGGCTAAAGAGTTAGATAAAATTACTGAAGTTTGGGTTGAAGAACACAAGAACAAGAGGAGAGATCACGGTAGGAGTGAAACTGACTACTTGGATATACTCATTGAGACATTGGGAGGAGACAAGATTCCGGGTTTGAGCGATACTCACACGAAAATCAAAGCCCTCTGCCTCGTAAGACCTATATACATAAACTATAATATCAAATTACGGGTTGGACTAGTCATACATGTTTATAATCAAGTAATTTATATTAATTGTGAACATTTTTGGGTGCAAGAACTTGGTATTGGCTGGGAGCGAGACGGCCATTGTGGTTCTGGTTTGGGCGGTATCCTTGCTCTTGAACAATCCGCATGTATTGAGGAAAGCTCAGGAGGAGCTGGACAGTAAAATCGGAAAAGAGAGAGTTGTGGAAGAGTTAGATATCAAAGATTTGGTTTACCTCCAAGCCATTGTCAAGGAGACATTTCGCCTGTATCCACCAGTCCCTCTCATTGCTTATAGAGATGTGATGGAAGATTTCGACATTGCATGTTGCAACTGTCATGTGCCTGCAGGTAATCAAAGTGATTAAATGGCTTAACTAACCTAATATTTTTTTTTCGTTTAGAATCTCACATAAAACTAGTAAATTTCATAAGTTACCAAGTGCCAATAGCTCAATTGGTAAAATATTTGAAGCAAAGTTTACAAATCGCTAGTTTGAATGACATTTGGGAGAGAACCATATTAAATGCTCTGGTCCCCGGCCTGAAAGGATGTACGAGTATAGCCCCAGAATTTCTTAGTACTTCAAAAAAATCATGTTACTTTTTCTACGTACATTACCAATTAATCTGAGATTAAAGTTCAACAAATATGATCATAATGAATGTTATCATTTCTAACATAAATAGTTCATTTAACTATTCAGGGACACAATTGATGGTGAGTGCATGGAAGATTCATAGGGATCCAAGTGTTTGGTCCAACCCCGAACAGTTTGAGCCAGAGAGATTCTTGACTTCTAATAGAGAAGTGGACGTTGGTGGGCAGAGTTACAAGTTTTTTCCGTTCGGTTTGGGACGAAGGTCATGCCCCGCGATCCCTCTAGGTATGAAGATGGTGCACTATCTCCTAGCTAGGTTTTTGCACAGCTTTGACTTGGCGAGACCATCGAGCCAAGATGTGGACATGACAGAGAGCAATGGATTGGTCAATCACAAAGCCAATCCTCTTGAAGTCTTTATCACTCCTAGGCTTCATAAATCCATATACGAAGTTGATCACATAGGGATTGATAATTAGTACATTGTTCGTTGGCCACTGAGCTAAACAAAAGAATGTCGAGGTCGTTCCATGATTCCAAATTTGTTATGCTATTTGTGGAAGATTAATCCCATGAAAATAAAAGCATTTTGAATATGCTGGTGACCACAATTTGTTGTATCATAAATTTGTTGAAATAATCGAAAACGTATTTATGATATAAATATTATTGGAGTGAATTTTGACTTAGGATATCCATCACCAAAGCCAATCCAATCAAAAATGGCCTAGGGCTAGATTGGACCCCGAGACATGACGGAGCTGTGAAGAGCACCTTCATGCATAAGTCAAAAGCAGAGAATTATCATATGATAAAGTATATATAGTGATGATGGTCTCTCGCCTACTTTGGTCTCTCACCTACAAAAGTTAGTCACCAAATTAATCTCATTGATCTCTCGCATTCTCATGCATTCTCAAGTGGATATTGTCTCATTCGTTAGTGTGAATTTACCAGATCACAACTTCTTTCATGTTCTATGTTTATTTTAGGGGCAAAATATTTATGTGGCAAACAATTAGATTCGTTAAGTTTTACATTTTTCTTTTTCAGTTTTGTCTTCTAAACCTATTTTGGTACCAATATTGGAAAAGGAAAAAATATCGGATCAAACATAAAGAGAATAAATAATGGTTATGGTGGTACTTACGTCACTTAGGTTTGTTTTTGCATTTTACCATGAAAATTCATTTTTTCGGAGGGATGGGCGATCGGAAACTTTAGTCCGGCTCGGCTCAAAATTTCAGTGTCTTCGGTTAGGAAAAATGTGCCAAAATTAACTTGATTCGAACTTTGTTCAGTTCGGTTCACTCCAAATGTGAAAAAATTTGGTTCGGTTCGTGTCATAATTATTGGCACCACATTTGTTTTTCCAACCAAACATTAATTAAACTAACTATAAAATTATTGGTACCATATTGAAACCAAAGCAATGTTCCATTTTTTTGTTGGAAAAATCCTATAACTGTTTCAATAATTTTGGTACATTCGTTTATAAATTTTGGTACATTTAGAAAGCTTGGTTTGGTTCAATAGTTTGTTTTGAACATTTAAAAAATGGAAAAATCTAAAAGTTTTTGTTTTTTTTTGAAAATTCTTTGAACTGATCGGTTCATCTTAAAATTACGATTGGCTTTTAAGCTTAAACCGAGATTTAAACACACCTCTATTTTATAATTTAACCATCAACAAAAGGCATAGATAGAAACTCTAGTAGTTTAGTTATTTTCTAAGACCGAAAAATGTCATCCAAATATTGAAACTTTTTAAAAACATTTACCAAAAGTTGCAAATCAGTTGCATCCTAAATTTATCTTTTATAAAATTTTATTGTGTTTTTCTAATAATTTTTTGAATTATCTAATATTTAAAATAAAATGAACTTAAAGCATGTTATTGAAACAAAACTTTCTTTAAATACACTAATGATAGGACAAACCATAGGTGTTTTAAAGAAATATTAATAAGTTTAATTACGTGGCATGTACATTAAGTTATTACAATTATGGTAGGTCTCTGTAGGTTACGTGACCTGCACCGAGTTGGTGGATGACTGGGCTAGCTTTTTCCTTGATCAGAGCAATAATTTTTTCCAACGTGTCACATGTGGTTCAAATAATACATAAAGGACAAAAGTTGTCCTTTTAAATTCACATAATTTTAACTCGTATCAACATCGTTTAGGCGACGAAGATCTTTGCAGATTTCAACTGCTAATTTTTTAAATCTTTTATTGAAATAATTTTGTTTTGTTTACAAGCACAATACCGTATTCAAAGTTGAATTATTATGTGACAGCAATAGAATAACAAATTATAATGCATAATCAAGCATATTAGACCATACACAATGGTAAACTTTGTGTATGGGTGTGAGTATTAAAATATTCAAAAGTAAGAGAACAGTGCACTTGGAATGCGTATGCAAGTGTTAGTTTACAATCGAGTGTGAGGGGCAGGTGTCTTTGTTTGGTTGGTTCTGATTTTTTTTATATTAAAAATTTGTTTTCATCTCTCCTCTCTGTTCCTTCGATGAAAACAATTTTTCATCTCTCCTCTGTGTTCCTCCTCTGTTCCTCATCTCTCCTCTCTCCTCTCTAACTTTATTTTACTAATTTAATTTGCCTCACATCTATCTTCTCGAGTGCCGCACTGCTGATGCTCTTAAAATGCATGCTCCGCTGTATTACACGTGGTTCTTCAACTAATACTAAATATAAGGACAAAAACTTCTTCTTTTTAGAATTATAAATTTCCAGCATCATTTAAGCGACAAAGATTTTTAGAGATTATGAATTTTTGACTATTATAGTTTTTTAGATTTTAATATAATATATTTTCCATCATTTACAAACACATTACCATATTAATATATAAATATTATAAAACAGCGAAAATATAACAAATTGTTGAACTTTGAACCTTATTAAAATGAATGTTCCAGTAGGTTTATTATAGGTGGATATTAAATGATTCTAAAACATAATATTAGGATAAAATATTATCTCTTGAAAATGATCAGTGTTTTTACATCCGATCCGAACCGTCTGATCCGATTGGTTAACCTGCGATCCAAACACTTCTTCGATTTGGGGTTAGTAATAATATTCAGCAATTTTAAAAATAGAAGAACTTACAAAAAAACCCTGCCACTAAACTGCGATCCAGTTGAACCGGCCGGTCTAATTAGACGTGATGAGTTCGATTATCTCCTTTAACATTTTTTCTGCATTCTTTTTGTATGTTCTCTACATTTCACTAAAAAGTGTTTGTAAAATTAGAAAATTAGTTAACAATATTATCTTATTTTATAGTTTATTTAATATTTTAAAGTCAAAATTTGTGTGATATTGTTAGAAATAATTTACATTTTAACTAAAACTAATATATGTAATATATTTAGAAACCAATATACATAGTATTTTCAAAGTCTTGGGTTCTTTTTGGATTTTACATTTTAAAATAAGATTGTGGTTTGACCTGCATTTATTTGACATGGATGTTTGTCTTGTAAAAAAAAATTACATGGAGGGTTTTTTTTGCAAAAACTCCTTATGTTTTCAAACGCAGTTATCAAATGCCACGTCATCGCTACACGGGAGGACAATATTGCGGATGACTTTTGAGATTGTGAGGTTGACTTGCATAATTCGGACTTGGAAAGTAAATTTGCAAACAAAATTGACTACCAGAGTTGTTTTGCAGAAAACTCTATTAATTAATATTATTAACTATATATATTGATTTGTGCTTCATATAAAATATCTGGCTAGACCTGCCACTGTAATCAAGCATATGAAAAAAATGCATGCTATTACACGTGGTTCAACTAATACCAAAGATAAAGACAAAAACTTCTTCTTTTTAGAATCATAAATTTCAAGCAGCTTTTAAGCGACAACGATTTTTAGAGATTCTGAATTTTGACTATTATAATTTTTAAATTTTTTATATTATCTATTTTCCATCATTTACAAGCACATTACCATATTAATATATAAATTATTATATGACAGCGACAATATAACAAATTGTTGAACTTTGAACCTTATTAAAATGAATGTTCCAGTTGCATTATTATATGTGGATATTAAATGATTCTAGAAGACAATAAATGTTCCATCTTTAGAATGATTTAATATACACATGTCTGATGTTTAGGTAAAGTTGCATATGATTTTTTTATAGATCTTAGCCCTTATAATGTTAATGGGATACTGTTTAAATATTTTTTTGTATAATTTATAAACAGTACAATATGTCAATATTTACATTAAAACTTAATTAGTGTTAAAATACTTGTAATATTAAATTCAAAAGCCAAATTTTATTTTCTCAAAAACTATTCTTATCTTTCATTAAACCAATAATGGAAATAAACTAAGATTAGAGACCTCTTCCATTTACTTCTAAAGCTATATTTACTTATGTGTTGTAAATGATAACAATAAATATTAAACTAATATTACATTCTCTATATATTAAAAGATAGTTTTTAGTTTATTACGAGAGACTATTGCTATATATTAGTACTCGAACTCCATACCTAATGTAAAAGCCTTTAAATCTTTAATAACTGAGCAAAAAGACTTCTAGGATAGACAAAAATTTAGTTTCATATAATAATATTTATCAAAAAACTTAATATAAAAATATAATATGTACCTATCTGCTAATAAAAATATATCTGCAAATTTAAGATTTTCAATTTCTGACAAATATATAATTTTAAAGTTTTCATTAGGACAAAAGTGTCTTTCTAAAACCAAAAAAATTAGTTATCAAATATAAATTAAACATTGGGTATTTTTCAAAAAGATTAATCTAAAGGAGGTAAACTACCTAATTTCAACAGTAAAAATCTGAAAATTGTCGCCAATTCGTTGAATTTTTGTCCTTATAGCTGAACCACATGAAATGCGTTGAAAACATGTATTGTCGTAATTCATAAACCACTACATAATAGAAATACGACAAGAAGTTTCACGTTGCAAGTGAGAAAACCTAATAAACAATTTCTTATTACTGATACCAAAAAAAAAGAAAAAATATTACTTCTTATTACTTTAATTAAATTAAATTTATTTATCGTACGTATTCAACAAAAAAAATATTTATTGCACAACTTCCAAGATCTCTTCTTTGTCTCTAAGGAAATCTCCATTGGTTATTTTTTATGAATGTCTTTAAAAAATTTTATAATTAATTTTAGTGTTATATAAAGACACTTACTAAAAATAAACAATATAAACGGTACAAGAGCTCGATGCAATCGTAGTTGGTACTGAATTTTTTCCGTAACTACCATAATATGGTTTTTATTACTTGTTTATTTATTTAGAAATTCTTGGTTATATATGCATGTGATCAGATCCACAAAAGATAATCAGTGCAAGCAAAAAATTATTGCAACTAATAATTTTTTTTGGATAATTTTTTCAGTTTATAGATTAATGATTTTTATCACTTGACTACGAAATCTTTGTTTTTTTTAGTTAAGAAACTAAATTTCAGAAAATATTTTTTTTTATAACTTCAAAATTCTGAGCAATGATTTAATTTTCGTAGAATTTGATGGCACTTTTTAAATTATTGGGA